CCAGCTGCTCTTTGATCTGTTTTGGCTGTGAAGGAAAGTCTACAGAGCTTTTGTTGTGATCTTTGGACCAGCCAGGGTGGATTGCACTCAGTCAAAGACCTCCTCCACTCCTAAAAGCACCTCGGTTTGTGTCATCATTAGCCATGTCATATTTATTCCTCCAGTTTGAGAGTCGTACAGAAGGCTGATGTGTAAACAAGTGTCTTGCATTGGAAGAAATTTCAGTCTGTTATATAAAATAAAACAACCGTTGACACAGTGAATACTCATGGAATAGTTTCAGCTACACTGATTGTGGCAAACTGACGTGCGAACGTCCGTTTTCTCAAGAGGAACCCAGGTGGCCAGACATGATTCAGACAGAACTAACGTCTGAGAGGATGGTAGCGCTGGGGCACGGTAACCACAGAAAATCAAGCAAATCGCTCCGGTTACATTCACAGCATGGACAAGTGCCTCATTTTGTAGTGAGTGCTTGGATGTTCAAAGAAACACTTCTCAATTCTGTGAATCAGTCCATGCTAAAGAGCTCATTCTTATTGTTGCCACATTTGAACTGAACCGAAATAGCAAAACCTGCAATTTCCAGAATTGTTGAGGAGCTTCACAGTCGCAGAAACCATTAAGCACTTTTGTGTACCTGGGAAAAAAAAAGCGAGCGTGTAGCTCTTTGACCACACATTAGCACTATGAATTTTTTTTTCTTTTCCGGCCTGTCAATTAAATTAGTGGGAGAATTGATTTGGCGGAAATTATTCTTCGCAGACTAGTTGCAAATTGTATGAAATTGCTCCTTTCAGGTGAACTTTTCTCATTACATCAACAAGGTAGTGTTTAAAGATGGCCTTGGCTATGAATAATGGAGATCAATACATAGGCATGCTACATTTCATGCGGCAGATTTAGCCTTGGGAGAAGTATTTGGCAGTTATGAAATTTTCCGTCTGTGCCACTGTTAACAAGACCTGAATTGATCAGACTGTTAAACGCATGGCGGTCTCATTAAGAAGTGCGGGCAGGGATGATACATCAGGTTCCAGGCGGTAATGAAAGTGGCGATCCATACCGGAGCTTGTAAACCATTAGCTCCAGAAAAAGTAATGTCAGATTTGTTGCTGTATGAACTATTTTAGATTGGCTTAGGAAGAATGTCTGTTTTTCTTATGGAATAATAGTAGTGACAAAGGGCTCATGGTCCAATCCCATAACTTCACAGCGTGTTTATACACCCCCACACTTCCTGCTGGATCCATATCTGATGCTTGCTTTCCATTAGCTGTAGTGGCGTTGTGCAAATAATGGTGCAAGCACCCTGTTTTCCCCTTTTCTTCTAATTTATCAACTCCCAACGCGCATAAACCAGTAAGTCCTTGTGTCAGAATTGCCAAGGCAAACTGCAAAATTGCTTTTCAGCCAAATTAGCATATTGATATGAATATTCCTCTCAAGTGCTTGTCAGCTTCACGCTTGTTTTTGCTTATTGCTAACATTTGTCACCTAGGGAACATTGCCCATTAAGATCCACTTGCAGTCCACAGTCACTGCAACACTATTGGAAGCTGCTGAATGATCAAGAGGAAGCTTTCTAACTGTTAATGTGGAACCTGACAAATTGTGTGTTCCGCAAACGTCCGCTGCATACCTATCAGCTATTTTTCTGGGGTTTGTTCTG